TTGTTATAATATATAGTTGCTATAATAATATTAAATAGTATAGTTATAGTATGCATGGGACTATGGGAGAACACATTTAAAACGAAAACGAGAAAAAACACAATTTGTACCGCGCCCGTAGGTACAAATAGCGAATCGTGAATATTGTTCAATATCATTATCCTTTGTATATCTGTATAGCAGCCGTCGTTGCAGCATAATATTGGGTATTTAAAAAAATATATAATATGTAGGTCAAGTTACGCGGGTGTACCTATATATAGGTACGATACAATGCCCGCCGTCTACGGTACCATATATATTATTAGTATTATAATGCGTATGATATTATGCAGTTTGTTAAAATAAGTACAAACTGCAGTTGTAGCTGGTATATGTATGATATTATTATAATGGCCTGTTCTCGTGTTATATTACGTACTATATTATATTATTACGACGATATGAGTAAGCGTATTGGCGGTTACCAACTACCTGGTTTTAGCAACACTCGAGACGTCCGAGAACCAGTTATTATTATTTGCTCGCGGTGTGTTAACAACACGCTGCCGTACAGGCACTTTATAAGTACACGACCGATATAGGACGTGCCTATACCCATTAGTAATAATAATAATCATCGTACGATCCTTTATTATAATATCGCACCATCGTTATATTAATATAATAATTTTTATTTTTTTTTTATGCTAGAACTAAACTAGAATTAGTATAGAAAAGACAAAATAATTATGGGTAATGTAACAAACAGGTGGTTGACTAATTACAACTTTTTGCATCAATTCAGACAGGGGGTTTGAGTGAAAAGACCATCCATATCGAAGGGACTTATAATATTATATTGTTATTATAGTGTGGCAATATTCAAAAACAGTGTTTTTAGATAGTCCAGCTAGAGATTTTGCACAGTTAGGTACGTTCATACAACGGGATGAACATAAAGTCGAATTTAAAACTTTAAAAAAAAAAAAATAATAATAGCATAGTTCATCTTGCCCCATTGTAATTTTTCCCGTCTTATCCCAAATAGAAATATTTTAATTTGTGTTAAATTATTATTGCGTCTATTATTCTGAAAATAAGGATAAACTCTACCAAAGTCGAATTAATCGAAATCTAACAAGACTGTAGCCATTGGAAATTATACAAGAGTAGGTAATTAAGCATAAAAAACTAATTATTATTATTCATTATTTTGATGTTTAATTTTATTACTAATAATTATTATTATTCATTATTTTGATGTTCGCAAAATATTACATCGCATATTAGGCACCGTTAAATCCAAAACACCTGTGCACCGTATCACATGAATTATTTGTTGATATCAAATAATATTATTATAGTATGACCTCATACTTGCTAATTTTTTTGTATAAAAGTTTTTTTTCCAAAATCTCAATAGTTTCCGAGATAGAACGATCTTACCTCTAGTCCTCGTTACTTACCCAGGTTTCCCCTACTAACATTATATCTCGATTTGTGACAGAAAATAAGTATAATTGTGTCGAAAAAAAATGAAAACGGCCACGGGACGACTTCGAGTATGCATAATATTATACAAGGCTATACTGCGGTCATGTACTATAAGACGTAGGTAGGTGCAAAATTGATTTTCAAAAGTAACGATACACTCCCAATTCGTGCCAACTCGTATTATATTATATATTATATCGTATTACATATTTTAAGGCGGCTCTAAACGATTGGATTTTTCATGCATTTAGACCAATAAGCTGGCGAAAAATACACATACTTCTGGTAGTCCAATTTCGATTTTTAATACTTAGTTGGATTCGTTAGCATCTTTTCTGTGATCTGTAGGAAAAACTTTTTCATCTTTTTGTCTAGTTAGCACTTAAAAGTGCAAGTTAAATTTGAGAAATCAAGCAGTCATTTGGAACCGTAATATACGTAAATTATCTAAAATATCCAAAATCGGTTTCCTACAAATCGTAGAAAAGAGGCTGACGAATTCAAATAATTTTTCAAAATTGAAATTGGACTACTAGAAGTATGTGTATTTTTCGCCAGCTTATTAGCATTTTTCACTGTTGTGAGTGTACAAAAATATTTTCCGAGAGTGATTACGTTGACTTGTGCATGCGCGTACGTGTGCTATTGAACCGTGTGCCCGCAGCCGGGCGATATAAAATCTATTGTTATCGATTTCGAATTTCTTTCGAATTTCACACTAATAATCATTTACGACTAACACATAGATTACGGACGGCGACGACAAGATTAGAAATTGCCTAAATTGTTCCCCTTAAATAATAGCCACTAAGAGCCGCCTTAACGTGTGATTCTACATTTTAGTATATGTATAAAGTACACAAAACTCAAGAAAACTATATATTACAGTCGGACTCGGGCACTTGGTTTACTCAAAGTCATCATAGGGATCGGCCAAAAAGTTCGAGCGTTATCCAAGGATAATACAGTAATTGTAAATTCAAAGGACCAGGAAGAAAAATGCCAGGTATCGACGATTACGAGTTGATCAAACGTTGGATTGTAAATGTATAAACAATATTATCGTATATACCAGCTGGCGAAGTTATACCACTCATTATTTCAAAATTTAATATTTTTGAAAATATTTAAGTCATTAAAAAACAATATTTTTCTAAAAAGCTATATTTTTTACCATTATTTTTATTTTTTAACGACTTCGTGCATTTTTGATTCCTTGTACCATAGCGTAATTTTTTTGGAGTACTTCGTTGTATTTAATAATCTAATTTTGGACGAGTATAGCTTACGTAAAAAATATATTCAAATAGCTTAGACAAGATTATATATTACGAATAATATGTAAGTATAAGTATACTCGTTTATCTATTATAATAATATGGGTACTCCCGTTGCACCTCGTGCAGCGTACCTATCACATAATAATATAATACGTACACTACTACACTATATAATAATATATTATACCTAGGTATATAATACACACACTTGACAGTTGTTGACGGCCATTATAGAATACAAGGGGATCGTTGTGTACATGTTATAATAATAATATATTCCGATGATAAGGTTAGACTGCAATACGTATAAACGAGGTGTACGATATGTTATATTATTATTATAATCCAAACAGCGTGCAGACAATATATTGCACTGACCCCGAGCTGCAGAAAACGTCGGCAAAATTCATATAATAATATATATTGTATTTATATTATAGAAACTAATATTATATATGCATACCTAGTACCCACCTGAACAATATGTTCGTACCTACCGACTATAACACATTCGTTATACCTACATAATATATTAATATATGATTGTTGTGCACGCGCTCGTAATAGAGTCATTCTTCGGCTAAACGATAAGTATGTACACGTCAAATTTGTTTAAAAAATAACAAGACGTGATACACAACGCTTGTACGTTTTAATAATATACTGTGACATTGTTGTGTATACATAATGATGTATTATCATAGTATTGCGTATTGTGCTTATAAAGCCGTTATATTGTCTATATTATGTTAAGGCATTACGATCTCGTTGACGATGTAGTCCTACACCGATGGCCGAAATGGCTCTCATTTTCGAAAAACATGCCAAAGTTTGCCACTGTGCCAAACCCTCTACACAGTTAGAAGTCTGCAGTTGACTTGACATCTTACTGAATTTGTCAATCAGTTTAATTGCAAAATTATACGCTTTGGAGTGTTAAAATAACAATACGGTGTGTGTAAAATGAAATACACGTGGTTTAACACTAGACTAATACATTGTACTCAATTCAGAATTAATTAGTATGGGAGCTATATTGACTCTGAATATAATATGTTGAATAGTTGAATGTCATATTATCCAATATATTATTATTATAGTTAAAATAACATCGATAAACATAACATTAAACACATTAATTTAGTAAATGTTACATTACTTGTATGTTTGTTGCTGGACTAACGTCGATGTATTGTAAAATCAACTCAAAGATTATTTACACGCATTTCTAGCTATTTTCAAAATAAAGTAGTTTGGTAATAAGTAAATTTATTTAGGTACTTACTAGAGGTTCATAAGATATCACGAGGGCTGTATTATCAATGCGGGACTTATCAACGATTACCTATTAACTACTATTTTTACTTTCGAAAAACATGTTAAAGACTCTACAAAACGCTCACCTAACATAACGGTCGGTAAATATATTATTCAATATTATATGTTATGTGAATATCGTTAGTTTAGGTATATCTCGGGCCGTCACGTATTGGTTCAAAACTTCGCATATTATAATGAAATAATCGCGATGAAATGTGCGAGGGGGGGGAGAATAAAATAATAATAATAAACAATTAGCGCCGCAGAATCGGCGGGAGGACGCGACATGTTTTTGTTTTGTATATGTATATATTTTTTTTAACGCCCCATTTACCAAAGGCCATCAAAAACGGTTTAAGGAAATTAAAAAATAAGGCATTATAATATAAAAACGGAAAATAACCCGGCCGAAGTCATTATTTATTCGTTTAAGCGTGCGAAACGGGAGAGCAGCAGGACGCGGTAGAAAAAAAGAAAGTAGTAATTTCTTATTATTATTATCGGCGGCGGCGGCGGTGGCTGCAGGGTGAACACGAAAAGTCGTCTCGACCGGAAGTTCAGACGGCGGTCGGTGGATATATCGTATACGATCGCATTTTGCACACACACACAATATTATTTAAAAAATAAAATAAAACATTATTATACGTCTCTCCGACGTATTTTTATTTATACATAATACACGTTTTTCAAGAAAAGTTATCACACTCAAGGAAAAAAATCGAATTTTTATGGGTTCCCTAGCACACTGGCATAATAGGCAACGAACTAGCTGATAAAGCAGCCAACGAAGCAATAGCATCACCCAGCTCGGTATAAGAACAAACAAAATAACATTAAGACGCACTCGTAAAAATTAAAAATCCATCTAAAGGTCACTGGAAAAACACGTGCGGGAGGAGACTCCAATTACTAACAAACTTGATGAAAACAAAACATCGATCGACTCCCTCATGGAAAACCCCCTCATCCTCATCCAGGCACGGAGAAGTAGTTGTCACAAGGACTCGGATTGGACACTCATCCCGTCTAACACACCTGCACCTCATAACTAAAGAAGACTTCCCGACCTGTGAACTCTGCTGCGACAAAGAACTGACGATCAAACACATCCCACTAAAAAATGCCCAGAGTTCAACGGCTCCAGACGAATTCTCGGAAACCCATCAACAATAGCACTCGACGGACAGGACTCCAAAAATATATACAATTTTTTTCTCAGGTATAGACTGCAAAATCGAAAAAAAAAAGTAAATAAGTGTTCATTTATATATTTCACATTCTCCCACTAATAATTATGTTAAGCTTAATGCGCATTCCTATAACTTTAAGGGGATTCGATACCGATGATTTTCTGTTTTTGTCCAACACACGAGTGACATAGTATTTTAGACGTGTTTTTTGCCAAACATTCCAATTGATCTATTGAAGCGATAAGATTTCTGAAAACAGATTTGAATTTGTCGTCAAGTCTACTTGAAATCGACTTCTCCACATTTTTGATTTTTTGATTTTCTCCAAAAATTGAAATAACAGAATTTTTAAATACTCTTTTTGAATATGACATTTTAAAAAATTTGGAGGTTAATATCAAAAATGTGGGAAAGTCGATTTCAACTAGACTTGACGGAAAATTCAAATCTGTTTTCAGAATTCTTATCGCTTCATTAGATCAATTGGTATGTTTGGCAAAAAACACATCTAAAATACTATGTGGCGCGTGTGTTAGACAAAAACAGAAAATCGCGGATCGAATCCCCTTAAGACTAATACTCTGTAATAATTGCGGTCTGGTTTCCTCGGTATCCTTATTAACTCAATAAAATAAATGTGCTCGCACAAGCAGCGAGTGTTTAGCGGAAACATAATCATCCCACGACGACGACGACGATATAATATCGCAAACTCGTATTCCTCGCCGGCTATAAACCCGACTTGCATAACAATATGGACAACACACAATATTATTATTAAAATACACGTTAAAAGTATATTATAATATATGCGAGGCGTGTGTGTGTATTTAGAGTCTCCTTCCGCGTGGGAACATCCTGCTTCCAGGATTCACAAAATAATAAGACGTCTTCAACCCCTACCGGCAGCTCATCCCCAAAACGCGATGTCTATATAATATTATGCTCTTGTTCCACCGCGGTTTTCCACACGTGACGTTTTACTTCGCTGCAGTATACATATAATGTGTATGTATGTTGTACGCGAACCCGTCGAGAGGTTTCTTCGGTTAAGTGGACCCGTCGCCGCACATGTGGCCCCGTCAATATGACGAATCCCTATCGTCGTTGCGGGCGTACATCGTATTATAATATTATATATATATATATATATTTATGCAAATCGTTCTGTCGTGGACCGCGGTCCTCGTGATTTGTGTGCTCTTATATATTATACGTATTAGCAGCCGTCCGCTGCAGTTTTCGACATTTTTCGATTTTATCGACCCCCCGAAGGGTTCCACTGACCGTCCGCGTGTCCAGATAGACCGTCCGAAAAATTTTCGTTTCGATCATATTACAAGCTCATGTACGGATTATGAATCGCCGCCGAGGACGCTCGTCCCCTTTTTCTCTTCGATAATGCAAAATTGTTCAAAACCTGGTTTTTGGAATTTTTAAATATATAGGTACCTACGTCATAAATACGTCGTTTATACGTCATAAAGACCGTGTTATTTTCAAATTTTCAAATTTTTTTGTACTATCTACTTAAGGGGTGTCCCGTGGCGATACAAACTTATTTTTTTCAAAATAAATGAGAACCCACTTATTTATTCTACTGTAAATTATTTAGCGGATAATTTTTCTGAAAATGTTGTATCAAAATCAAATTCAAACGACATTTTCCTCCCAAGTTTATTATTATTATTATTTACTAATATTATTGAACTTAATAATTTTTGTTTTCATAAATATTATAAATGTATATGTTTGATCAACTGAACTACTTAAAACAAAAAAAAATTAATATGTATAAAATAAAATATAACTAATAATTAATAAAAATGGCTAAAAAATCCGAAATAAAAATAATACATTTTGTAAAAAAAAAAATAACTGACTTTTTTGTTAATTCAAACACAAATTTTTTGGCCTTTGTATTTATATACATTTTTTTTTTTTAATTGTACCAGTTTGGATATTTAATTTTTTGTGAATTTGATTCAATAGTAGTTCAGTTGATCAAAAATATACATCTATAATTTAATAAATTGATGAAATATAATATAATATTATTAAATAGTAAGCTATTAATGGGGGGGGGGGGATTGTCCGCGATTAATTCCTAACACACAGGGATTTTTTTCTCATTAATTTGTTCGGTATATTAAATTATCCAAATAGACACCAAATATATCCTATACAATTATTAAAACTCTATCGGCATAAAACGTCACGTTGTTGCGTGCGTATACAACAGTAGCTAAACAGACAACAGTACGAGCCGCAGCAAAACAAAACGAAGAATTATGACAATAATATACTAAAACAACAGCAACAATGAAAACAACGGGCGTCGTCGAAAACCGAGAGGGAATAAAAAAAGTGGCGAAGATGCGCTTTGCACAGGATTATTATACTGGTGCAATATATTTCGTACAGCACTCCGACGACGACGACATTTAAAAGCGATTAGAGATATACACGCGTATTATATACGACAACCCTAGGACACGTCGTCGTGAGCACATAAATCAACTAAACTAGGTGCCTACTTGAAACAATAAAAAAGTATAGAAAAAATATGTATAAAATAAAATATAATTAATAATTAAGAAAAACGGCTGAAAATTCCGGAATAAAAATGATACATTTTGTAAAAAACAAATATATCCTATCAAGTTGACTGCCACGGTATTTTTATAGAGTTATCCTCATGCGCCATGAGTACCAAATATGGTACTCACTCGGTTTGGCTCGTAGGGTTTTAGGTTTTCTGGATTATTGAGTACCAATAATGGTACTCAGTGACGAAATCACGAAAAAAAACTATTAGTTATCAAGGTCAAACGGTTATCACGTGTCAAATGACGGGTGAGTACCAGGATTGGTACTCATAGCGTATGAGGATGACTCTATAAAAATACTGTGGCTCAGGAGACAAACCATGTGAGTACCAAATAGGGTACTCACGGCAGTCAACTTGATACAAATAAACTCTATCGGCATAAGACGGCACGTTGTTGCGTGCGTATACAACAGTAGCTAAACAGCACTCGCCGCAGCAAAACAAAACGAAGAATTATTACAATAATATACTAAAACAACAGCAACAATGAAAACAACGGGCGTCGTCGAAAACCGAGAGGGAATAAAAAAAGTGGCGAAGATGCGCTTTGCACAGGATTATTATACTGGTGCAATATATTTCGTACAGCACTCCGACGACGACGACATTTGAAAGCGATTAGAGATATACACGACAACCCTAGGACACGTCGTCATGAGAACATAAATCAACAAATATCTATAAAATAAAATATAATTAATAATGAAGAAAAACGGCTGAAAATTCCGGAATAAAAATGATACATTTTGCAAAAAAACAAATATACTCCATCGGTATAAGACGGCCCGTTGTTGCGTGCTTATACAACAGTAGCTAAACAGTACGAGCCGCAGCAAAACAAAACGAAGAATTATGACAATAATATACTAAAACAACAGCAACAATGAAAACAACGGGCGTCGTCGAAAACCGAGAGGGAATAAAAAAAGTGGCGAAGATGCGCTTTGCACAGGATTATTATACTGGTGCAATATATTTCGTACAGCACTCCGACGACGACGACATTTGAAAGCGATTAGAGATATACACGCGTATTATATACGACAACCCTAGGACACGTCGTCGTGAGAACATAAATCAACTAAACTAATTATTACTTGAAACATTAAAAATGTATAGAAAAGATATGTATAAAAATTAAATATAATTAAAAATTAAGAAAAACGGCTGAAAATTCCGGAATAAAAATGATACATTTTGTAAAAAACAAATATATCCTATCAAGTTGACTGCCACGGTATTTTTATAGAGTTATCCTCATACGCCATGAGTACCAAATATGGTACTCACTCGGTTTGGCTCGTAGGGTTTTAGGTTTTCTGGATTATTGAGTACCAATAATGGTACTCAGTGACGAAATCACGAAAAAAAACTATTAGTTATCAAGGTCAAACGGTTATCACGTGTCAAATGACGGGTGAGTACCAGGATTGGTACTCATAGCGTATGAGGATGACTCTATAAAAATACTGTGGCTCAGGAGACAAACCATGTGAGTACCAAATAGGGTACTCACGGCAGTCAACTTGATACAAATAAACTCTATCGGCATAAGACGGCACGTTGTTGCGTGCGTATACAACAGTAGCTAAACAGCACTCGCCGCAGCACGTCGACAAAACAAAACGAAGAATTATTACAATAATATACTAAAACAACAGCAACAATGAAAACAACGGGCGTCGTCGAAAACCGAGAGGGAATAAAAAAAAGTTTCGAAGATGCGCTTTGCACAGGATTATTATACTGCTGCAATATATTTCGTACAGCACTCCGACGACGACGACATTTGAAAGCGATTAGAGATATACACGCGTATTATATACGACAACCCTAGGACACGTCGTCGTGAGAACATAAATCAACTAAACTAATTACTTGAAACATTAAAAATGTATAGAAAAGATATGTATAAAATAAAATATAATTAATAATTAAGAAAAACGGCTGAAAATTCCGGAATAAAAATGATACATTTTGCAAAAAAACAAATATATCCTATACAAATATACTCTATCGGCATAAGACGGCACGTTGTTGCGTGCTTATACAACAGTAGCTAAACAGCACTCGCCGCAGCAAAACAAAACGAAGAATTATGACAATAATATACTAAAACAACAGCAACAATGAAAACAACGGGCGTCGTCGAAAACCGAGAGGGAATAAAAAAAGTGGCGAAGATGCGCTTTGCACAGGATTATTATACTGGTGCAATATATTTCGTACAGCACTCCGACGACGACGACATTTGAAAGCGATTAGAGATATACACGCGTATTATATACGACAACCCTAGGACACGTCGTCGTGAGCACATAAATCAACACTATCGCCGATCGCCGCCGCCGCCAAACAAAAGGTTTTCTCCG